TCACCGATGGGAGCTTCTGGTATTCATCCTAAAACCCGAGGCACAGACCAAACAACAGAACTCTAAGCATAAGAATAAGGTGGGAAGTTGGAACGCAATGGTGAGAAGACATGTCTGGTTATGTCTGTCACATCCGTGTGCGCTCAGGTTAAACGGACTCAAGTGAAAAATCCTGGCTGAGCAGCTTCCACAGCTGCTTTACCACAGAAAGCACATGCTGCTGGAGGTGAGAGTGCAGTGCTCACAGCCGTGCCAGTGCTGGTGAGAGTGCAGTGCTCACACCCGTGCCAGTGCTGGTGAGAGTGCAGTGATCACAGCCAGGCCGGTGCTGGTGAGAGTGCATAGCTCACACCCGTGCCGGTTCTGGTGAGAGTGCAGTGCTCACAGCCGTGCCAGTGCTGGTGAGAGAGCAGTGATCACAGCCATGCCGGTTCTGGTGAGAGTGCAGTGCTCACAGCCATGCCGGTGCTGGTGAGAGTGCAGTGCTCACAGCCATGCCGGTGCTGGTGAGAGTGCAGTGCTCACACCCTTGCCGGTGCTGGTGAGAGTGCAGTGATCACAGTCGTGCCGGTGCTGGTGATAGTGTAGTGCTCACACCCGTGCTGGTGCTGGTGATAGTGCAGTGCTCACACCCTTGCCGGTGCTGGTGAGAGGGCAGTGCTCACACCCGTGCCAATGGGGCAGTGCCGGTCAGGGCAGGATGCAGACAGCAGACTCGGCATGGGCTGCACTAAGGAAGGGCTGTTTTGCTTCTGAGTTGGAAGCTTTTTGAAGACTTGAGAGTAGCTAAGCAAAGATGATACAAGTATGTGGTCACAGACACTTCTTGGTCACCCATCTCGTCCTGCTTCTGCTGAGGCATGAGTTACCAGCACTGTTTAACTTACTTTAAATTGTTACATATAGGTGATGTGATTAATTCATTCAACAGAACTGAACTAACATCTTATAATGCATTCAAAATTGGTAGATGGTGTCTATAGCAGGGTAAAATTTCAATACATACCTACAATAAGTAATGATCAAGATGATAGACATGTCCATGACCCCAAGCATTCATTTATTTTTGATGCTGGGAGCATGAAAGTCCTTCTCTAGCAGCTATTTCAAACTATGCAACTAATTGTTGCCAGCCATAGTTTCCTACTGTGCTGTGGAACACAAGACACCATTCCTCCAAGTCAGCTGCTCACCGGAATCCATTAATCATCCTCTCTCTACCCTTCCTCCATACTTTTTTAGACTCGATAACCACTGTTCTTCTATCTACTTCTGAAAGATCAGCTTTTGGGCCTCTGCGTATAAGTGAGGATGCATTGCTTAAGAGAGAACAACAGGAGCCTATGGAAAGAAGCCAGCAGAAGGTTGGCCACCAATAAAATCACCTCAGTCTTGCTCTTTGTTTTATGGTCCTGACGGCTGATCCTATTTCTAGGTCTCTGGAGGCACTTGAAGCCACAGCTAGGTTTCTGAGTGGAGATGAGCTGAGAGAGAAGAGTTCAGTCAGTGACTGTGGGGAGGGGCCAGCTATCTGTGTTCAGGTAGGCAAAATTCTCAACAAAGACAAGGAGGAAGTCAGGGGACCTTTAAACAGGTAGGAGACCGAAGAAAAGCCAGTATCAGAATGGAGAAATTTCTCAAGATTGGAGGCAGAGGATTGGGACGGGCAAGGCAGTGAGAGGACCATCTGATGGTCTGGGGAACCTCAGAAATGTCCTTAGCTCAAGAGTTTAGTGATGATAACAGAGCAGCCCTGGCTAGAGTCACAATGAAGAAAACATAGCAAGGACAAAGGATGGCTTGGGATTGGAATCTTAAGCAAAGTTAGACTTCACAGACTCCAGGAGAGGACCAGTAAGGATGCACAAGTAAATCAAAGCAAAGAAAAGGCACAATCAAAACAACACACACCCCCAACAAGAAACTGTCCGATTCTCTCTGAAGTTCCTGTATTCTTGGAGCCAACTCTATGCTTAATGATTCAGTGACTCTGAATTAATGATTCCTCAACCCCAAATTTACAAAAAGTTTCATGAATGTAAGACTTTGGAGCCCATGTGGATAGGTGTGTTTGTTTTAAAACTCCCCCCAAAGCTATGTGAAAAGTCTTATCTCGGTGACCTAGGAAAATGTTGTGCTCTGACAACATTTATAATGGCTACCCTAAATATCATTCTGGCTCCCACTTAGTATTCTATAAAAGCCGTGGCTAAATTGTCAAAACAACACACAGTTGCTAGAGTTTTGTTGTGTTTTAAAGAGGAAGATAGTCAAATTTAAAGATTACTGGGCAAATGTCACAAATAATGAACGGATGCACAGATGTTTTCTTTAAGCAAACCAAACCCCCAACTCACTTATAGGAGAGATTGCTTGTCTCTCCAGAAGTCACAAAATCTAAATTAATTTACTGAAAAGGGGAATCTGTATAGAATATTTCTAAAGATGTATCAAGGGTTTCAGGAAGATTGGCCAGGGCAGAAGAAATCGCTCAGTCAGTAAAGTGCTTACCTTGTAAGTGTAAGTACCTGGCTCTCACATTGAGGACCCAAATTTTAAAAAGGCAGTGTAGGAGTGCATGCTTGTCATTCCAGCTCTGAGGAAACAGACATTTGGATCCCTGGGGCTCACTGGCCATCCAGGAGAACTTGCATGAACAGATCAAAGCCCAGTAAGAGACTCGGTCTCGATAGATAGATAGATAGATAGATAGATAGATAGATAGATAGATAGATAGATAGATAGATAGATAGATAGATAGACAGAGCATGAAGAATGACATTGGTATTGGCATTTGACATTGTCCTGTGGGTATCCATGTCACCAGCACACACATGAACATGAACATACATAAATACACACATGGGGGAAGTCTAAGTGCATGCTTATACTAGAACTGCCATGTTTCAGATGTGTTATTCTCATTGTCAACCAATCTACTATTCTTTCATATCAACTTTGAGAGTACTGGTATTTTGCCATGTCTCTTTGCCTGCCATGCACTCCATGTTCAGAATAGGGGTATCTCCCATCTGGAGAGAATTATTTGGAACAATATATCTATATTAAATGATCAACTTCGTTTTGCCTTATACGTTTTCATTTGCAATCTATTGTGGAAGTTTTGCTATCTAGTACAATGGAAACGTATTACTGGCAAATGAAATTAATGTGACAAAGAGAAATAGGCATGAGCCACATTTTTAGAATTTGATATTCACCCTTGCAACTGCTATATCAGTTTTCAAATGTTTACTTCCACAGTTAAGAAATTGACTTGGAAAAATCAGATCATCCTAAACTACCATGATTCCGTACAGTGCAGAAAAACACTGGGTTAATTCTATACTGTGGCTCTAGCAATAAATAGCCACATTTACTAGTCACATGTTTTCACTTCCCAAAGTGTTTCCACATTCATGTTCTCACACTAGCTTTAGAACAGATGATAGTGTAGAGGGCTCAAAGACCATCACTTGACCAACAAGAAGTCAAAATATCTTCATGACAAAAATGCAGCCCTTCAAGTATGGATGTGTTTGCCTACTACTCCAAACTATTACATAAAAATTCTGGACAGTAAGTTGACTTACTAACTTGTATATTTAATTCAAGAAACAATTTCAAATGCTTACATGTGTTGTGCAGAGCTTGGCATCTGAGGGGGATCTGGACAGTACGTAAGACAGTATCTACCTGTAAATACCTAACTAGTGCAAGGTACAGTATGGCAGCACTATCATGGTTCCAACATGAAAGGCAGCAGACTTGGGAAGACTTTAGTCTGGGGAGACTTCAAGTTGGATTTTGGTTTAAGGTAGCTCTCAGAACTGCAGGAATGAAGTTCTGAAGAGGAGGCAGAATAATGATGTAGTCACTGAAGTATGATAAAAGAAGGAATACAGAAATCAGTCTATCCTAGCAAGATTTGGGGCTTGGGGGGCTTCTTAGAAATAAAGCCTGAAAATTAGATATATGGTAAGTTTACAGAAGCGTTTTTCTCAGAGAATGAAGGAGAGATTCCCTGGGTCTGACTACCCTGCTGAGTGGAGCCTTTTGCTCTTCAGCCTATGTTCACCTTGATTTAACACTCAGCCACAGTCCACAGAAGGCAATCTTGACTAAGCAGAGGTCATCCAAAAGCTATATGACAGATTTGATAGGAGGCCCAAAAGACAATTAGTGTATACTAAAACTTAATGAAATGACTCATTAAACAGCTGTGTCCTTACCAGTGACACAGGTCTCTTGCTGGCTGAAACAATTCATCTTTTAACTTTCCTTTCTCTCAGAAAAATTAAAATTTTTCATTCCTGATTGTCTTATTATTCAGTGTTCTGTTGCTGTGAAGAGACACCATGACCAAGGCAGTGCTTATAAAAGAAAACGTTTAATTTGGGGCTTGCTTAGAGTGTTAGAGGTTTAGTCCATTCTGATCATGGTGGGGAGCATGGTGGCATGCAGGCACAGTGCTAGGCAAGTAGCTGAGAGCTACATCCTGATCCAAAGGCTTACAGAGAGAGACTCTGGGCTTGGTATGGGCTTTGGGAACCTCAAAGTCCACTCCTGTGGACACACTTCCTCCAATAAGATCATGCCTCCTAAACTTTTTACATAGTGCTACTTCCTGATGACCAAGCATTCAAATATATGAGTCTATGGGGGCCATTCTTATTCAAACCACCACAGTTACATAATCTCCCATTTACATATTTTCAGCCCTATCCAGAAAACAAGAAGTCATTCCTCTTAGAATACACATTGAGAGGTATATATAACTCTATTTTTCTTTCTCTGATTTGAATGGGGATAGCTGATGGTTAACACTGACATGATCATGCCATGTAAGGATGGGGGAGGGGCCAAGGCCAAGCAGACAAGGTCTTTTGAGAAAAGAGGAAAGAGAGTGAAGGAACAACAGTGACAGAAAACACATGATGTTTAATAAATTAAAAACAAACAAACAAACAAACAAAATCAAATAACCAAAACTTCCCAACCTTGACTTTCAGATCCACTTTTAACTCCAGTCCCTTGAATGCCCACTTCATGGTCTTTAATAGCCTTAAAAAATAATTTCTTTTTTGAAAAGCCAGCTTCATTGAGTTCTTGGTCCTGAAGATACACTGAGCTTCTAATCTGGCTGTAAAAAAAAAAAGAGGAAGATTAAAATTGCATAAATCACTTTCAAATACCTGAGTCACATAATGAGATCAAGCTAACATTTCTCCCCACAGTTTTTGTGACCAAGAGGTTATACCTGCTCAGTTTTAAGTTGATAAAATATTTATTAATGAAAGTTAAGTTTTGCAATAAAAGGAAATAGATTTACCATGGAGGCATTGGCATGGCAAATACATGTTCTGTTTGAGAGTCTCTATACTATCCCTCAGTTTTTGAAAACATAATGACAAAGAAAATCTACTTAACCATATAACTTTATTAAATAGTTTATTAACTCTAATATGAATTTAGAATAAAATCAAGATTGTTTTATTGTCTTCTCAAATGAAGTAAATAAACACTAAGTAAATCTGACAGGTATATGATGAAATCACAGATTCCTGACCCTGTGAATAGCCACAGGCTTCAGGGTGAATCATGGGTGAAGTCTATGATCAGCACAGGTCCTCACCATCACTGTTTGTCATCTTTGGCCATGAAGGACTCAGGTAAAGACAACATCCTCAGGAAATTGTAAAGAGGTCTCAAGAATGGAGTGCCAAAAGCATAGATAAAGTCATCAGCCTAGGACAGAATAAGCAGTTGGTTTCAGAACACTGCATTTTATGATGCCAAAGGGCTGACTGCTAATAAAACCCAATGGTCATGACATGCTTTCTCCAACCGTACTTAAACACCAAGGTTACCCAAACTGAGTATTTCCCATGAATTCTGACACCAGAAGGCATTTCTAGATGCCCCAGCTGCAAAAGCTCTAAGATATAACCATTATAGCCATCACAACCAAATGAAGAGGAGAGTGAAAAGCACTTAATTCTGGTGACATTCCAGGGAACAGTTAAATGTGCTTTATGGCCTTCCATTATGAGAGTGGACAGTAGAGTAACAATATGTAATAAGGTAAGTTTAGTTTTATGTCCTGGGAAAAATCTGCCTTAGCCTTATCGTTCAAGTCTTTGTTCCTGTTTTAAGTAATTGCAAATGATAACTGGCTGGCAAGTGTCAGGAAAAAGCACAGCAGCCAATGGGCTTTGTTGTAATGCTCTCATCTTCCCACTACTGCCCAGTATGGTTACAGTGAACTTACAGGGACTTTAGTACAAGTGAGGGTTTCTTCACTTACATTGACCTCAGCAGGATCTCTTTCAAGCAAGACTAAAGCTTGTGAAATTAGCATATTGTAATAGCTTATAGAGCAGATAGAGTCCATGAATTCTTGATTATTACTCAAGATCTTAAAAAAAATACAGATTAAGTGAAACATTAAATAATAATGTGAGTGTTAGGTAGAAAAGGCAGCCATGGCTCCACTGGTCCTCACTGCTGGTGTGCATGCCTCTGCAGGGTGCTGAATTTGACCAACATGTAGTCTATCAATGTGGTACAGTTGAAAGAGTGAAACTCCCAAGACTATGTCAAAAGACTTCCTTCTTGCTGTCTTGACCATTTGTTCTGGGGAAGCTAATGACTGTACCATGAAACGCTGCCCAGCAGAGAGGGCAATGTCATGGGGAACTAAGTCTTCTGTCAACTAATAACAACCCCCTTCCCCCAGGCCTCTTGCATCCATCCAGCTGAGGGAGCTGGTAACCACTTAAGTGCAACCACACAAGGTACCATGAGTCACAAGCACTCATTATACTACATGAAGAGCTTGGGAAATTCTACACCATCACGTTCTATACCATCATAGAGGTGGGATAGAATAATATATTTTTATTAATGTGTTAAGCTGCTAAAGTAAACTATTTTACTGTACAGAAGCCAATAATTAATAGATAGCACCATGGCTGGGACTGGAAATGTGGATAGAGAATCCCGTTAACCCTTCTCTGGCTTTTTTTCCTCTCCTTTTCTGAAACCTGTCTTACATGGCACTTAAATGAGGCATAATTGAGCACCACTTGCCTCTGCTTCTTGCTGAAGCTGGAGTGCCTCCTGCCTAGTATTGTCAATGTCACTAATTCCTTCTGGTGATGGAAGGGTGGAAGACTTCTTTCTGATGAGTGGAAAGACTCTTGCCAGAGGAGATCCAGGGCAGTCTATGATCAGCTCAGTCCTAGACATGAGATCTGTAGTTAAAAGACTCCACATCCAAGAGGCTTGTTCTTCCTTTTTATCTTGCATTTAATCTAAGACTTGGAATTCATTTGAATTCCCAATAACAGACAAATCAATAAAGCGCAGTATGGTAGTATAATGGAATACTATGGAACCATAGAAGTCTTAGATTGGAAAATCTAATTACATCTTTATTGCATGTGTATATACATGTGTTTGCATGTATATATTTACATGTGGAAGTCAGAGGACAACTTGAGGGAATGGGCTCTCTCCTACCATGTAAGTAGGTCCCCAGTGTCACATTCAGGTCATTGGGCTTGGTGAGCAGATCCTTTTTCTACTGAGCCATCTCATCAGTTCTGTAAGTCTTAGATCTGAAGAATGTGCTGCAATTAAATGGAAGTGTAGTTATCTCTTTGATGAACTAATACCATGTTCCATATCTGCCCAGGAGTAGAACTGCCCAGTCATGCACTAGTTTCTACACTTAAGTCTTGAGGACCTTCTATGATTTTTTTTTTTGTTTTTTTGTTTCAAAATGGCTATAGTAGTTTATATTCTCCCCATCATCTCTGGGTTTTCCTTTTCCTATATCCCACTCTCACTGGATGGATACCTTTTGTCTTCTTATCAAGGGTGGTTCTAACTGGAGTAAGGTGGTAGGTAGCTCATTGTAGTTTGCATTTGTATTTCCTCCAGGACTGCTGACGTTGAGCACTTTTACATCTAATCTATTGGGTTTTTGTACGTCCACTTTTACAAATGTCTATTAGGTCATTTGCCCACTTTGAATTATGTCTGCATTTTTGCTATTGTGTTATTTAATTTCCTCACATATTTTGTAATATTAACACCTTTCTAGATGTGTATTCTTTAAATATTCCCCAAATCTGTATCTCTTCACCCTGTTGTTTTCTTAGCTTTGCGGGAGTTTTTCAGTCTCCTGAAATCCCAAGTTGGCTTTTTCTAAAAACCTGTTTTCTTCCTTAACTTTCTCCCATGTGAGCAAAAGCATGTTGATCAAGTAATTCCATGGTAACACGCGGTGCTTCTTGCCCACACTCAGAAAATGTTTTGGCATATTTCATTGGTGCCTCCTACCTCTCATGAAGGAAGGTGCTCTCATGAAGAGCACCTGAGATAAGCACAGTAAATGGGTGAGCAGAACTCACTTCATTGTGTACATTCACTGGCAAAGGCTCACTCACTTTCTATTTTTATTCTCCATTCCTTAATCATCAATGGAAATTTCTTATTAGGTTTTTATATGTGAATGCAGAGAATGAAGCCTCCACTTTGCCAGAGCTTCCAGAATTACCCCTGTACTGGTTGCCCCAGATCAATGTTAAAATTACATGTCCAGGAATTTAACTATAGACCATACCACAGTGCTTTTTAATTTTCCCTAGAATTCCTTTCAAATAAGTAAGGAGATAATCATCACAGCCCTATTAATTTCCTTTCTTGCTGGGGGACTTTGCAAGCGCTCCCTTCTCAACAGAACAAGGACATCTTTATAGTCAGTTCCCATGCTGCCTGAATTCCTGGGGGAAAGGAAAGTAACTTGTACTCCTCACTCCAATCACAGGACACTTGAATCCTTCCCACCCGCAATTAATGGGATGTTCTTCCCCACTGAACATTTTTGCCACGGCATAAATGTAGTAGCTACCTAATTTTGTGGGCACCTAAAATTGCACACTATTCCATGTTGAGTCTTTGTTGTGAAACACACAGATCTATGGCTAGAACACACACATCATAGCTGACAGCAATTCTTCGTAAAGAAAGAAGTAAAATATACCAGAAGCTGACTCCCAGTTCTAAATCCCTAAACACCACCAGCGTATCTTCACTCCAGCAGGCAGTCACTCTACTGTTGAGGAAGGGGTTTGAACAAAAACACATAGGCCACTTTAGCTCTCTAAGACTCTGTAACAGCCACGGGCCCTTAGAATGCCTTGTGATTCTGTGGGCTCTTATTATTTTGAACATACCTAGGGCTCTGTATTCTGTCTTTCTGCCTGTTCTGTTCATTGGCTTTGGCAATGTCTATTTTTTTACTTTGTGTTTTCTTTGCAGTCCCCAATCTTTTCCCTTTACACCTTGAAATATCTATTTGGAAAAAAGGGGTGTGATAAAGATTAGCTACTTTAGCCGGGCGGTGGTGGCGCACACCTTTAATCCCAGCACTCAGGAGGCAGAGCCAGATGGATCTCTGTGAGTTCGAGGCCAGCCTGGACTACCAAGTGAGTCCCAGGAAAGGCGCAAAACTACACAGAGAAACCCTGCCTGGGGGAAAAAAAATTAGAGAATTATATGCCTTCCTCTCATACTTAGACCCCCAAAAAATGGCCTTTAAAGAAAGCAGATGACCAGATATCCCTTATTTATGTAGCATTTTCTTCTGGAATGCTCTTTCAATTCTTTGGGCTTGTGGTTGTTGTTGTTATTTTATTGCCTTAGGTCTCTCCCATAGCATGTAATCCCAAGAGAACACCCATCCCCGGGCCCTGTTGCCATCCACAGGGCCAGTATCTATGTTGGGCTAAAATAATAATTATGGTTGTTTATATCATCCTATATGCCTAATATGCTAAACTCATTGTGTCAAAGTCTCAAAGAAAGCTGCTTTTGAGGAAATCATGCCTCAAAGACATTGGGATTGTTTAAAAACCAAAGTAGTTTTGAAAATACTTGATGTACTCATGTTAAATTGTCTCTAACATGATACAAAGCAGAAAATCAGGAAGACAAAGTTCCTAGACAGGAATGTCTATCAGACCTCTAAATAGTTCCCAGCTGTGTGGCATGCCGGATGACTGGATAAACACACTTAGCAAGAATCGGCCTGGAGAATTCTTCTGGGTATAATTGCTTCTCATTTGTGGTCAGAGACAAGGTCAAATTTTAGGGGCTCTTGTCCTAATGACCATGAGCTCTTTCCTTATAAAAATACTTTATTAATTGGGGCTCTATAAATATACACTTTATATATATAAAGTTGAGTTTTAATAGGAGCTCTTTCTGAAAGAAATGTTAAAAGAAAGGGAGGAGATATATATGCAGCTTTTAAAAATTAAAATTCATGACTTGAGGGCTGGTTCTACTTTGTAATTTGGTTTAAACGGAAGAATTGACTCTTTAATTGAAGCAATTGAATTATACTTCTATATTTAACTAGTATTTTGAAACTATTGCTTTTTCATTAACCAAAACGTTTTGCAAGGTCTTGTGAGGAATAAAAATTCAAACGACTAAAAGGATTTTCAAAATCTCAGTTATTGCACCCCTTTCACATAAACACAAGCATTCAAAGTATGGGAGATAGAGAGGGCTCAGCACTTGTCATACAATTATGAGGACCAGAGTTCAGATCTCTGTACTCATGTAACAATCCAAGTTTCCAGCCAATACCTATAACCCAACTCTCAAGGATATGGAGACAGAATCCCTGGGGCTGGCTGGCTTCTAGTGTAGCCAAAGAAAGGTAAACCCCAGGCTCAGGGAAAGATAACTTTATCAAAGGAATGGGTCAAGAGTAGCACAGAACACTCAATGCTTTCTGTGGGCCTCACAGCACTTCTGCAGAAGTTCACAACCTACATATATGTGCGCACACACATGCATGCACATGCACATACATCTAAATAAATTAAAAAATTTAAATTATGATTCACTGGAGAAAAACTATGTATACGTGCAATTTTTGTCTTTCCACATAAACTTATCCTGAAATACTTTCTACAAATGATGTATAAAGGCGTTGCTTTACTGATCAGTATTTGATAATGTGAGAATATAAACCATATGTTATGATGCTGTTAGTATCTCAGTGACACTAGTCAACCAATGACTTCATGTTTGTAACTAAAGCTTTAGCTTGGAAACTGTTACAAGCAAAAGTTTGGGAATGAGATATAATCTTTGAGAAGTTTCTTAGCTGTTGGACCACTTCAAATCGAACAATAAAACTCTTGCTAAATATGAGACATTTGAGGTGGAGTATGTACGACTAGAGAAACTCAGCAGTTTAATTTCCATGCCACACTTTACATAGGGAAGATGACTACAACTCTCTGTGCTTCAAAATATAAATTCCACTTACCATAAAACTTAGGTATTTTTTTTTTTAATTTTAAAGAGTATTCATGCTTAACAAAATGAGTGATGCAGCAGACAAAGGAGAGAAAGAAAAGCCGCAAGTGAAACTGTGAAGAAAAACGTGACAGTTAATAGAGTATTTGGGGCTGGGGAGATGACTCGATCTATAAAGTATTTGTCAAGCAGACATGAGATCCTGAGTTTAATCCCCAAAACCAGTGTAGAAAGTCAACTATGGTGGCACACAACACCATCAAACATGTTAACGTGGAAAGGTCTCCAAGCCTGGATAAAGAACTACAGGCAACTAAGGAATGCTGAGAGCAGGAGAAATCACCTTTCCCTGGGAAGAGCTGCCAATTATTACCCAATACTATGTGACCAGCCCTGAAATCATAACCATATGCATAAAATTAATATATGGACTAAGCATGTTGTATTTAGGAATATTATGTATGTATTTATGTATATATACATATATTCAGGAATTCATACACATATATGTGTGTGTATATAAAACATATATATATATAACGTATATATATAACGCATATATATATATATATCAATTTAAAACAATTTGGATGTGGTGACACATACCTGCAACCCCGGTGCTCCTACCCTGAGATAAAAGACAGAGAGAGAAGATTTAGTATTAATCTTGCTAGTGTCCTTTTCCTCTCCAAACTGTACCCTTTGCACTTCCTTCTACCCAACTTGCTTTTTTTTCTTTGTAGATCTCCATAAGAGTGATTACTAAAAACCATACTACAGAGTCAATATTAGGCTGTCTTGATGTTCTCTGATAAATAAATTAGTCTATTACTTTTTAATTTATCCTCAGGACATTTCTTAGGGCAAGGGCAGAAAGTACCCACATTTTTTGCCAAAATATCACAAGAAAGGTTTCTATCCCAATTGTTAATATTAGTCCTCTCTGAATCCTTGTGAGCTAGGCCTCCATAGTCCACATAGTTCTCAGCACTACGGTCTCCCAAACTCCTCCGGGTGGCTCATTAAACTCTGGTTACAATGCTCACCCATATTCCAGGGTTTAAATCCCAGCATGGTCAGGTCTGTCAGAGCAATACTTCCTCCCTGATACCAATTTCTGTTTTGGTTACTTTTCTATTGCTGTGACAAAACATCAAAACTAAGGCAATGTATTTAGAATTAAGGTCTTATTTGAGGCATATGGTTCCAGAAGGATGCGAGTCCATCACTATCATGGTAGGGAAGTGTGGCAGCAGGTAGGCATGGTGACTGGAGATGAAAATTAAGAGCTAAGGGCTCATATCATGAACATCAAACAGGAAGTAGAGTGTACTAGAAACGACACATGAATTTTGAAACCTTAAAGCCCACCCCCAGTTCATACTTCCTCCAACAAGGCCAAACTGCCTAAACCTACCCAAAAAATATAACTGGGGACCAAATATTCAGATACCCAAGAGTATGAGAGATATTTTATTCAAACCATCACACAGTACTGTTTCATTATTTTAATTTATTATTTGATATGTTATTATGTTGATTAATCACTGAGATGTTTTATATTCTAGCAACATTATTGCAAAAATATTTTTAACCTTATCATAGGTTATATGGAGATATGATGTTAATTAAGAAAATGGCTGAGAAATCCATAGTGGTGGCTCATATCCTATAAAGAGAAGGAACCTGAGCTCAGAGAATACTATTACCCAAAGCTCCGAAGCCGAAAAGCAAGACAGCCAGATCTGAGATCCCGTTTCCTGAACCCCAGTCTATGTCTTCCTTTGCCCAGCTGTATTCCATGGCACAACTGCTGGATGGCCACAGAAATAAGTGACTACTTTTAGTCCTCAGCATAGGTGGGATGCTCAGAACACAACTGTTTCTAGGTTCTTTTTAATTAACAAGACAGTTGTAAATGTAGGCCAAGGATGTGCCTTGTGCTATATAGATTGCATCCAAAGCCGCTTAAGTAATTGAGCGGTTATGGCAATCTTCCTAAATCATTGCAAATTATTAGGCAGCATGTGGTACAGTTGGAACCAAAAGGGCTCAGGTGTAATAAATGATTGTCCTTTGAGAGAGTCATTTCTTCATAATAGGCCAGTGATTCATTAGGGAAATGCGAGAACTCCAACAGCAGTAATTAAGCATACTGAAATATGTCATAGGCACAGAACCACTTGATTCTTATATGAATTACAACCGGAAATAAAGTTTGCTGGGAAACTACCAAAACAGTGCAAAATATCAGGATTGTTCTTCTATGTCTCATCTATATTTTTATGAAAGTAGCAGTTGTTTTTGCAGGAAGCATTTCAAATATCCATTTTAAATGTATTGGTTTAAGGTTCTCTTGTTTTCACTAAATATTTTTAAATTAGGAAGTCTAAAAAACACAAAGGAATCCTGAGGAGATAGAGTATTATTAAAGTTCTAGAGAAATATGACATAAAATAAAACATCAAAATTCCAGGAACATTATTAAAAGTATTTAAAATAATCACAAGATTAAGAATAATTCTGTAATTATCATACTAAAGATAATGAATCAAAGATGAGAATATCTTGGATATAAGTCGACTTTTCTGTAGAGCTGCTCTGAAGCCTCCTGGGTGTGTCACCCAACACTTGGCTCCATTTCTTTTGCTTTTCTTGAACACACATGCATTATGTCAGTGTTCTTTCAGTGTTTAAACACAATCCTCAAAGCTTCTCTCCCCCCCCCTTTAACTGCATATTAAAAACAATGCTTCCTGAGTAACTACTATAAATTAATATACTAAAAATTCAAATTGTAGATTTTTTTGCTATCATTTCATAATTTGCACTATTGGTGAGTGAATTACACTAAATGATTTTTTGCTAACATTTGTTGGGCATGAAGCCACAGTACAATTTCAGTGTATTTCAAAATGGATAATGTTCACTTCTGAAAGTAGAGGTAGATAGTTTTCTATTTTATATGTCCATATTAAGGAAACACTTACCTTAAAATCCAAGGCTCATCATTAAATATTCAATTGATGTAAACGAGTAAATATTTTTGCACAGATTCGATTACTCTGACTTGCTCTTGAATCATTTACACTGAAGTCCCATATTCCTTCTCCTCTCCCTTCTCTCCCTCCACCATCCTCCTCCTCCTCACTTCTGTTATTTTTTTAGTTTGTTTGAAAAAGAGCCTCCCTACATATCCCTGGCTGGCTTAGCCCTCACTCTGTAGATCAGGTCGGCCTTGAACTCATGGAGACCCACTTGTCTCTGCCCTCTCAGTGCTCAGGTTAAAAGGCCTGTACCACCATGTCCAGCTCATTTCTCCACTCCATCAATAATGTCTCATTCAGGGTATGCCTATAGGAAAAGACAGCATACTATTTAAACTTCTCTGGAAAAAAAAAAAAGATGCCAGAAAAGAGCATGAGCCAAGTGCATCCCTGTTCATTGCCCATCCTTAGTGCACTGGGCCAGGACAAAGCAGGTTTCCTCCTCCTTTTTGAAAATATATATATTATTTTTCTGAAAAGTACTTTGGTGTTGATTATGACAAAGCCTTTGGGAACATTTTGAAAACTGAACAAATCAGTTGAGTGTTTAATGTAAAATAGTTACATGTAAAATAGGATACCAAGTTTTATATGTACACAGAATTAAGAACATGTCAAGGATTGTTGAACTTATGAATAAGGGGACCAACATGATTAAAAATGGTGTCAAAAATGACTAGTTATTATTTATAGTAATTGACAAAATAAAGCCAAAGTAAGACATCTGGGTTAGAGCCAAAAGAAAAAAGAACTTTATGTCAATATAACCACAACAGTTTTGTACTTTTTTCTTCCGGGAAGAATTCACTTGCACCCTTAAAAATAAAAATAAAAAATCTACAAATTAATATGAAACACCAGAGTCTGATCCTTAATCTGTAACTAATAATCATGAGAGCAAATAATGACAAATCCTTGAATAGTCCTGCCAACAGTTCTTGTGTTATTTTTGCTTTAAAGCCAAGTTTTGGAAAATTGTTCATAATGCTCATCAATATATGGAGTGATGGTGACATATGCCTGACAGTGTGTCCAAAGATTATGTTCATTGTTGTAGAATATTATTTTTTTTTTTTTTTTTTTTATTTTTTTTTTTTTTTTGGTTTTTCGAGACAGGGTTTCTCTGCGTAGCTTTGCGCCTTTCCTGGAGCTCACTTGGTAGCCCAGGCTGGCCTCGAACTCACAGCGATCCGCCTGCCTCTGCCTCCCGAGTGCTGGGATTAAAGGCGTGCGCCACCACCGCCCGGCGTAGAATATTATTTTAAGATGTGTTACATTTATTTATGCTGTGGAACATTTTTTAATGATGCAAAGATGTGTTGCGTTTGTTTGTGTTGTATTTGTTTAACTCTGCAAAGCATGTTTTTGTGCCTGTCTAAAACACCTGATTAGTTTAATAAAGAGCTGACTGGCCAATAGCAAGGAAAGAGAAAGGATAGTTGGGGCTGGCAGGCAGAGAATAAATAGAAGGAGACATCTGGAAGCAAGAAAGAAGAAAGAGCAAGAGAACAAGGAGAGGGGCATGCTAGGGCCCAGCCACCCAGCTACCCAGCCATCCATGGAGTAAGAGTAAAAGTAAGATATACAGAAGTAAGAAAAGGTAAAAGCCCAGAGGCAAAAGGTAGACAGGATAATTGAAGTTAAGGAAAGCTGGCTAGAATCAAGCCAAGCTAAGGCTGACAATTTATAAGTAAGAATAAACCTTCCTGTGTTTATTTATTTGGGAGCTTGGTGGCAGGCCCTTCAAAGAGTAAAGAATAAAACAACCAACAACAGTTCATCATACAAAATAAACCCACAATTCATTGTTTCCATTACCTAATAACCACTAAGCTTTTAATTCGCATTTTGTTAAAAATCACTCAGAGGCAAACCCAGTGAAGGCATCCTACTTATGAGAGAAAGGCAAGTTAAAGGTTCTAGATCATGAAGGATCCTAACTTTCTCATGCAATAGTGGGGGATTCAGTATACCTATAATCTATAGTGCATCCATGATTCTGGGAGCTGTGCTAGGCTTGCAGAAGTCTTCACGGCCATGGTAAGGATGTGGATGCTCTTCAAGGCACAGTGAATACACGGAGGTTCTCAAGGCTGGAGTGATACCAACAGCCTGGCTTGCAGAATAAGTCTTAGTTCTTTCTACACACAACAATTTTATTTTGCCTTTTTAAAACATATTTTCTCGTAGCTGACCTGTAGAACTAATCACATGATTTTAATTGTATAAAATGTCAGCATGCTGAGGAAAGAGTGTGTGATGGGGTTAGCCTCTGCCCATGGGCTATCTAAAAGAGTGATATGGGTGAAACAAAGTTGGAAACAAAATGTGACATCATTCCTTATCATTATCCATGATGATGAGCATTAGGATAGGAGGTGTGTGAAGAGTATTTATTAGCATATAATTCACATCTAATAAAATTCTCTCTGATAAAGTATAACATTTTAGTTATCAATTTTTTCACAAGACTATGTACCCGTTGTAGCTATTTCTAGGGTATTTTCATCAACCCCAAAAGAAACCATAAGCCTGTTACCAGCAATTTCCCATTTCTCTTCTAGGCTTTGACAAGTAACAA